ATAGATAGATAGATAGATTATACTAATAACTAATTATTTAGATCATTATACCTTCCAGTCTTCTCAAGCTCCTCCCCCATTGCATGTTCACCTCCTCCATGACCTCCATCATGAGGCGCGTCTCCATTCATCTGGGAATCCCCTCCTGCATACATGTTTTTCCTAAAGGGGCAATACGTTTTTGTAGTCAGTACTGTGACAGATTAACACTAAGTCACCTAAAAATACTAATTTGATTTAGGTCGAACATTGGCCCAGTGATGCCGACACAAACTGTTATCTTATTCATCATGTCGTCATCTTCATTTGCCTGTTCCTCGTCAGATGATGTTGGTATCCATTAGGGGGATTAAATAGCCTGATTGATCAGTGCTCACTTAAACAATGGGATATTTCTGTCTGACAGCAGCTTTATATAATACTAACGGTGGCAGTTGCATAATTATTTTGTGCACCTGGATGCAAATTGAGAGTGTGAATTTTTCTGCAAGACGCTGTATACAAATTGTACATCTAAGTTGTTTTTCCAACAGACATCATTCTATTGAATCTATGCTGGATACTAAAACAATACACTAAGGAGTTTGTAGTTTTTGACCTTTTATCTGAAGAGGGAAGAGATTTGGGCGGCTCTATCCTGATGGTCGGGTCCCACTCTCCTGGAGGAAGTACAATCACCTCATCCAGGAACTCATCGATACCAGCCAGCAGGTCTTGTCTGTCCTTCGCCTTATATGCAATGTCATGAAAGATCTGAGGAAAAAAAGGGAGAGGGTCGATGTATTAGAGCGGAAAAAGTTCACAGTGAAAGCATGCAGCTTCACAGGGCAGTGAACTGTGATATCAGATCTGGGGATTACTAAATAAGGACAGAGAGCGCTGACATACAAACACTATATAGACGACTAATCCCATTGAATCAACCCAAAAACTGTGAAGAGCAACGTCATTCATCAATTTAATCAACTTGACCATTTACCTCACAAAGTGTCAGAGTTCTTGGAGTCAGCTTAGATTTTCAAAGGTTTCACCCCTCTTTGTTATTTTTATTATTATTTGTCACAAAAGAAAACATATAAATAATTTGCTTTTTACTTTACTTGCAGTGAAATAATTAAGGTACATTTTATTCAAATAGACCCACAGTAGAGACTCACAAATTGCAAAAAGAGAAAGAGGTTTGAATATGATTGCTGGGTGCAGAACCTTGAAGTGATATATATTTTAATAACCCACGAAGTGTTTTCGTGGGTTATTAAAATATATATATATATATATATAT